GATATATATTCTATTTGACGATATATATATATATATATATATATATTCTGTTTGTGACGATATATATATAAATATTCTTCTTTTGGTGCTGGGTGACCCCCGGCGCAGCAGCCTGGTAGCGCCGGTCTGGGCTGATACTCCCGGGTGGGTAGTGAGGTTTGTGAGTTCTCCCCTTGACGTATCACTGGGTAAGTGGGCGGGCCCGCTGCACCGTCAGTAGGGCTGACCCCGGCGCGGAAAGCCCTTTGACGGATATCCTCCCTGGGTCATAAACCCCGACACATCTACAACCCTTTTTAAATTATTAGATGGATACGTAAATACGTGACTGGACAGTGTTTAGTTCTAGTGCGTCCGTCCACTCCCAAGAACTGCAAGTGGCTGTGACATGACGAAGCTCCTGTCTTTTGGAAGGGGGCTCGACAACTTCAAGACTGAGCGTATGTGGACAGGATGACTTGTTTACTTGGTATTTCGGGACGGAGTTGCGGCCAGATACATCCAGGTATGGCCGTGAATGCGGTCAGATACATTTGAGATACTGCTACCCGTAGTGTGAGTACGCCCTGAGTGCTGCTTCTCGAAGGGATGCTTACGTTGATTTCGTTTCAATGTATCGTACAGAGATTTTGGTTAATCCGCAGAATTGGCATGTGCATTTATTTTTTTCCCCCTTTTGCTTTCCCAACCCTGCTCTTCCTTCTTTTGTTGTTATTAGAACAACACCTGCCTACAGTAGTTTGCTTGCAATCTACAGGCACTGCCGCTTCATGGCTGGCCTCACCACTGTACTTACAGCTGCTGCTTACAGTAGTTTGCTTGCAATCTTGAGGGAGGGACTGCCTACAAATGAGGCCAGAGATTCTGGTCAAAAAAAGTGTAATATTGTGCAAACTGTTCAAGTACAAATGAGACGCTGGACCCCTTTTCCAGCAACTGACCCTCCCAACTAACAGAATGGAGCCATTTAACAGTGGGGACCCCAACCCCCGGGGACTGGCAGTGCTCGTATCACCTCCTGGGGATGGGATCCTGAAGATGGTGTCATTTAAAAAAAAAAAAAACAAAAAAAAAAACCACCTGTACCCGGAAGGAGTCTGCATAAATTTAATATAAATTGGAGCCTTTCGGATCCCCCCCCCCCCCAAGAAAGCAAAAAAAGAGAAACTAGGGCACAGTCGGGGTTTGAGTTTGAAAATGCACGCTTGAGGCGAAAAAGGGCTGGTAATGGTGAATGTATATAACCTGGGTTTTGGGTTCTCTGGGGTCACGTGGGGATGTGTTGTGTTTGCGGGATTGCCTGAACTGCATTTTCAAAGGGATGTGGTGTGTTTGCGGGATTGCCTGAACTGCATTTTCAAAGGGATGTGTTGTGTTTGCGGGATTGCCTGAACTGCATTTTCAAACTGTTTTCGCGACTGCACCGAAGTTAACCACCCCCCCCCAAACCAAAAAAAAAAAAAAAGGTCTGCCTAAATAGGCCGGCCGGCGGGTAGGTAGGTCGACACATTCTTTACTCATCCACGTATTATTCCCATGGTGATTGGATATTAGTAATTATGAGATTGAATTGATTTGATTTGATGGATGGAGGGATGGTTTCAATTTTGATTGAACCACTGTTTCAGTAGCTGATTGCTTGGTTCAGCGGTTGGTGGGTTGGCCATGAATGGAATTACGCTTTTATGAGGCGCAGGGGTGGGAGAAGTCGATAGGTAGGTCAGACGCGGGCAATGATGTCGGCGTGCTCTCGTTGGGCTTGGACACCAGCCTCTGGACGGGCGCATTTCGCTGCTTTCCCTATGTTCAGGACAAGTCAAAAGCAACCAGACATTGAGATGTGCTTTGAATCGACCATTTGGTTTGTGAGACAGCAGATTAGCTAACCCTTCTTCCCACGTGCACTTTGTGTCCACTCCAACTGTGGGTGTGTGCATCACTGACTGATTCTCAAATGCGTAGTACCGATGTCCATATACCAGGTAGGACGTTGAGATCTATGTATCACCCGCGGTCATGACCGTGGGCTTTTTGGCTGCATGTGGGCATGATCATGCCTGCAGGGGCCAACCGCTGAGGCCAATTGCGGCCGGAAAACCCCGACATTTTTAATTCCTAGGATAATAGGCCAAAAAAAAAAAGAAAAAAGAAAGGGGTTGTAGGGTTTCAAAACCCCTACCTCCCTATAATTTTTTATTTTTTTTTTGATGTCCTTAATGATTTTTAAAAAATAAAAAACGAAAAAATAAAGTATTAAAATCAAAAGAAACATAATAAAAAAAGAGGGAACTTCTTTTTTTTCCATTTTTTTCGGATTGCCGGTAGTATAATCATGGTGCACATGATTCTTCGATTCTTTTTTTTTCCCTACATATGCAAATATAAAACAAACAAACAAAAAAAAAAGATATAATGAAGAAAAAAAACAAAGCCATTTTCTTTTTTTTTTCCCTTGGCTTTTTCGTTTTTGATAGACAAACAAACTGATTGATTGATTGATTGATTGATTGATTGATTGATTGATTGATTGATTAGAAAAAAAAAAAATGAATG